TAATTTTAAGCATGCCAAGGAGCTGTCAACTGTAATTAATGCTGCTGAAGGAAACAGATTATTAAACATATTTTGATAGATTTTTATGTTATTTGACTTTTGATTATTTCATCATAAAGAAATCATAGTACACTGAAATTAAGCTGAATTTATTGCTGACTTATCAAGCAAAAAACACAATCCTAAACAACTTTGGTTATAAACACTCCACTATTTTTAAAAATAATCTTTTTCGAAAACGATTTGCGAAAGTCGAAACGTCAAACTGGATTGTGGCTTAATCCCGTACATATATATGAATAATCGCTATGCAAAAAGTATGCTTTCGAAGAAACGAAAAATTTTACCGTGGAAAAGTTGCGGAAATAATAGCCAGAGCTGTAGAGACAAAAATGAAGGATTTTGGGCATCAATTAGTGAATTTTTGAAACCAGCACAGCGTTATGAAGGGTAATGTCTGAAATAACCTTCAAGTATTTGCAACTCCAAACTTTTGGTTATATTTAATGGCACTTTTAAGGTGCAAAAACAGTGTTTTTTGATTATTTTTATTGTATCAAATATCAAGTAGCATATCTTACGGTAAAATGAGCAGAATATTGAATGAAAGTACATAAAAAAGCTTTAATTTGAGTTATGCTACAATAAATTTGATCCAATAGTTTGTGCAAAATTAACGATTGAAAGTCCAAAAATGTGGATTTTTAAAATAACTTGTGTAACTTGTGTAAAAATTGTTTTTTTTTGCAAAAAGGACTATGTTGTAGCTATTTTAATTAATATTAAATTAATTAATATTTTAATTAATTTAATTAATATTTTAATAAATATTTTAATTAAAGCTTGAATATGACTTCCTAATATCTAATCGGAGCAATATCTCCTAGAATTGGAAACAGCGGCGAAACAGGTCGGTCTAGTCATCAACGAAGACAAAACCAAGTACATGTTGGTTACAAAGGATCCGATAACAAATGAGAACGAGAAACAGTCTTTGGAAGTCTTGGGTCGCTATTGACTGCAACAATAAAAAACAAGCGAAGAAATAAAAGACGAATAAATCTTACAAATAGGGCATACATATGGACTCCCAAAAGCATTTCCTCTCAAGAAACATTCAAAGAAGAACTACACTTATTATATACAAAACATTGCTGAGGCCGGTCCTCACATATTGAGCAGAAACATGGACTCTAATGCAAAAAGATGATAGACTTTTGGGAATATTTGAGCGTAAAAATACTCCGCAAAATATATTGGAGCTGTAAACGACCAAGGGCAGTGGCGCAGAAGATATAATTTTTGAATTGTATCAGCTCTTTGATGAGCCAGATATCATAACGTTCATTAAAACACACGCGACTTAGATGGGCTGGACACATAATACGAATGCCAGAAAATACGATTGCTAAAAAGCTAACTCACAGGAACAGACTGTAGGAAAAAGAAGCAAAGGCCGACCGCGAATTAGGTGGTTAGATGGAGTGGAAACCGACTTAACGAATATTAAAAATCAGAAGATGGCAACATGTTGCCAAAAACCGAACAGAAATAGCGACGAATCTTAGAGCAGGCCAAGATCCACAGAGGATTGTCGAGCCAAAGATGATGAATATCCGATCGGTCAATTAGTTTTCGAGATACGTTTAATTGTTTATAGAAATTCTTAAATTTTTATAAATTTTACTAAAAAAACACAGATCTAACTTTAAACGGATTCTTTTGTTGATGAGGTATATTTTTATGTAGAAATAATAATAATTGACCAAAAAGTTTTTTAACCTTTTATTTATAGCTTGGAAGTAGGGGCGACTTTTTGCGTTAAAAACTAATTAAGCTACAGGGCTCCCTACACATTTTTAACTTATTGATTCTTATTTATAGCTGAAGTCAAGACAAAGACTGACTAAAAAAAGTTTTCTACTACCAATAGAAGTGGAGTTAGCTTAATTTGTTTAAAAAATCACAGCTGCTGTGTTTATAACAATTAATAATTAAAATTGGTGTCATTAAACAGTTAAAGGCCTATATTTTATGATATAAAAAAACATGAGTAAAGTTGACTGTTTTTTCGAGTAACCGGATCGGCTCGGTTTTGGCTGATTCTCGGCCCGGTGCACTTCAAATCCGCGGCGCCGGAAACAAATCACTTAAATTGTAGTTAAAATATGAACCAATTTCGCTCCTTTTTTTGGGCTGCGGTTTACACTTTAGTGACAATTAAAATTTCTTTTTAAATTACTCTTAATCATCTTTATGGTACATATTATTATATTATGTATTTTTTTATAATACTAAATAGTAAATATTCATATTAAATTTATTTTATAACATGTATTTAGTGCATTCAATATTAAATATTTTTGGGGTTGAATTAAAGGGTGGGGGTAAAATAATAAATGTAATATACACTCAAAAAAGTTTATTAATTAATGTATTATTAATATTATAATTAATATTAATAATATTCATTCATTTTTCGTTTGTTATTTATATTATTTATAATTTCGTCGTCATCGTTTAATATTGCATCCAAAATATCAATGTCGTCACTCTCATTCAGATCGTCATTTACATTTCGATTAAAAATCGGAGAATTTTCGCAGCTATCCTCAGTTACAATTTTCGCATATTCGAGTACATTTTAGAACATATTTGCAACAACCACACTTTTTGTTGCACGCGGATTCTAATGTACATTTACATGATAAACTCTCTGAAACCTCAAGAGGAACCATTTTTTCGTTTTGACCCTCTTGCCAACCAAAATGCAACGGATCAAGATTATTTGAGAGCCAAATTTGTATTTTCACACGATGCTCATCCGCAGCATTTTCTGTTGGCGGCAAATATAATCGAATATATTATTAAAAAAAAAAAAGTTCTGGCTCTTCAAAATTTATAGAAAGGAGATCGCACACATCTTACGGAAAATTTAATGTCACTTAAATGCAATAAAATTTACATGAATGATTGTTCGAAGTCGTAAATTGATTATATAATAAAAACTAAAATCAAATTTTGTTTGTTTGTTTTGTTTATGAGAAAAAAGATTTTGTTAATAAATCTTCTGTACGTATTAAGGCAAAGTACCTCATTACCAAAGGACATAGTGCCTCTAATTCGCTTAGCTCGCGCTGGGTTTAGCTGTTTTCAATGGCGACTAGACTAATAATATTTATGAATGACAGTTTTATGGATTTCAAAAATGTCATTTCCATAAACTTTAATTACAATTTACGCCGTTAATAATTAAAATTCAGAGTTGGGGCAATGATATGAAATGATTGTAATTTCGACACGAATCTATTCGTGTAATTTTTATTACATTTGAGTGACATTACGTTTTCCACAAGATGTGTGCGATTTCTTTTAAGAATTTTCCTAAACAATTAAACGTTTCTCAAAAAGAAACTAATCGATAGGATCTTGCTAAGTGTCATTCGATTTGTAGTTAAAGCATTTTTACAAAAGTTATTTCAAAAATTAAAAATTGCGAAAAATTCACATTTTTGAACTTTCAATCTTTAATTTTGCACAAACTATTTTTTCATCAAATTTAATGTAGCACAGCTCATATTAAAGCTTGTTTTATGTACTTTATTTCAATATTCTACTTATTTTACACGAATCTATTAATTTGATACTCTAAGGGCTGATTGTTCGAACGCTAATCAAAACTTAATTGTAATCAAATATTTAATTAAAATCAAATACGTCACATTTTGAAGATATGTTGACTGATTTATTTTATTTAATTTATTATTTATTTACGTTTTAATTTAAAGTAAACCATAATTAAACTCTTTATGATGTTAATTTCATGTTTTTATTTACAAATCAATAATAATAATAAGCAATTTTTAATAATTTTGACAGCTGCTGTGACGTATTTGATTGTAATTAAATAGTTGATTACAATCAAATTTTGATCGATTTGATTAGCGTTCGAACAATCGGCCCTAAAAATAAAAATAATCAAAAAAATACCGCTTTTGTACCTTAAAAATGCCCTAAAAAAATTATAACCAACAGTTTGAAGTTGCAAACACTTGGAGGTTACTCAAGGCATTGCGCTTAATAACCAAATTCACCAATTAATGCACGTTTTTTTCTTGCAGCTTGGACTAAAGGAAAATACAATTTTTAGAAAAACTAACCCGTCCAACTCTAAATTTTCTTTTCTTTTTGCTTATCGCATATGACATTTTCAATACACAAAAAGGCATAAGGGATAAAATCGTGGTTGAAGTTCGTATTGAAATCCGACTGCCTATAATCCATATACGCATGTATGATGGAAATACATGTATATATATATATATATATATATATAATATATATATATTATATATATATATATATATATATGTTTATTTAGATCTTATATAATTATACATTAAGTTATACTGTTTGTTCATTACTGCAATAAATATTTTTCCAGGTACACGTTAAATTATTTGTGATAAATTACAAGGTAACATTTATTAAGACATTACTAATCATATTTGCATTCCATATTAGAGAAATGCTAAATTGGGAAAACCGATATTGTTTAATCTTTCGTTTGTGCAACGCGGGAAATTTTAAAATGAAGCTATTTTTATCATAATAAATAAACATTATTTTTTACGTTAATTTCTGTTTGTTATTTCGTATAGTACTTAATAATAACAATTCTATCGGTTAATCTTGACATGTGTATCATTGAATCAAAACTAAACACTGAAGTAATATGCAGCAGTGACAGTGACATTAGCAATATACTCACAATTACAAAATCATAATTTTTTATGAAAATGAAATCCGAATGAAGAGATTCAATCGTGAAATTCATGAAATGTATAAAGAAATGTACTTTTAAGAAGACAAAATTCTACCTTCTTTTAATTGAATGTAGTCGTAGTTATTGTTGGAAAAATAAAAGTACGATGTTTTATTATGATTATTTTTTTAATTAATACTTGTGTCCGTAAAGTTGAAATGTTTTTTTATTTCAGGCAATGGTTGCATGTTACCCAGGTTTCGGATCTCATTATGTAAAACACGTAGATAATCCCAATAGGGATGGTAGATGCATAACAGCTATATATTACCTTAACCTTAACTGGGACGTACAAAGAAACGGAGGACTACTAAGGATATTCCCCGAAGGATGGAGAGAAGATAAGGTAAATAACATAATTAATCGATGATAAAATGAAAATACTGATGCAACAATAGTTTTTGAATTCATTATCATCATCACTGATAATAGAGTTCTAGTTGAGCCTCGACCTTCCCTAGTATGTTTTGCTAGTTGTTCCTCTCCATTGCTAACGGTTGCATTTTGGCCGCTCCAATCTTCCTATCGTTTTTGTTTACATAATCTTTCCACCATATCACCTCAGTCTTGGTCTGCCCCTATATTTCACATAGGCATATTTATGAAGGATATTATATCCCTACCGTCTGCTACTTTTTTGATATATCTTATAGAGCTCAAAGTTATATTGATTTCTCCAGATGTAATTTTCGCAGATTGTGCCAAAAAGATTTTTCGTTCGCAAATAAGTAAGAGATTATTTGCATCCATTTTAGAAATAGTCCGTTTTTCCGACCAATATGCGAGCGCTGGTAGAGTGAGTTTATACATATATTGTTAGTTTGTTTGTATGGCTTAAGTTTCTGTTCATTATGTGTTTGCTTAATCCAAAGTAATACTTGTTGGCTAGGTGTATCATTCTTTTGATTTCCTCTGTTGTGAAGTTATCACTGGTCATGAGGCAGCGTAGATATATGAATTTTGTTTTCTGTTGTAGTTCTCCACGTTAAAGTTTTAGCCAAAGTTTATATCATTACTTTAGTTTTCCCTCCTTTTATTTTGAGAGTCATAATTTCTGCGTTGGTTAAAAAAAATAGATAAGAGCTTCCTTAAGTTTTCTCTCGGTGCGAGCGATCATGTCCATATCATCAGCAACCACCATAAGTGATCGTGGATGTTAAGTTCATTAAATGTTTCATCTAATTTACTCCGTCTTGCTGTTTACTAAAAGGTTGAAAATATCAATTTTGATTTTTTTAAATATTTGACGTAACACGAAGATTTGGTCTAAGGTACACCTATGTATGTACAGCGTTAACAGGCCTTTTAGGCCCATTGCTGGATGTATAATTTCCATCGTTTCCTGTTCTTAGCTATCAGCTTTTAATCTCTGATTCCCATCTCTCTGACATCTTCCATCATTACATATCTCCATTTCTTTTTTGGTCTTCCTCTCTTTTTTTGCCTTCAGGTACTAGAGCAGCAGCATATGTCGCTCTGATGAAACCTAAAGAGGTTGAAATACGTATAAGCGGCTTGCCACCGCCCTGTATCGAAATAAAAATCTAATACCGTCATTATTTTATTTCTTTACTCTGTTTGGAGTACCAGAAACTGAATTCACTACGAATTTTGACCATTATGAACGGCTTGTGGAATGCATATTTTAGATTCTCTTGCCGACCAATTATCCAATCTGTTTGCTTTGCAAGTAGTAGAAAGCACAGTGGTAAAGATTTGAATTCAGTTTCGCCAGGTAAGAAATCTTATGATTTCTCTTGTTCTTTCTACTTTGTTTTAAACCTGGGTTAATTTGTTTTTTGTTTCTTCCAATTCTTTATTTATCTTTATATTTTCTTTTTTCACTGCTATCATCTCTTCTTTATATTCCTTCACGTCATCCTTCGGCTCATATCACGTCGCCCACATCCTCTGAATCTTCTTCCTTTGGTTTTCTTTTGCTTGGGGTTCTGGCAGTTTTTTTGCTCTGCAGGAAAGGTGAAATTGACCCTCTATCTTTTCTCTTCTTGCCTTCTGACGCGTTATCATCACTGTCCGTATACATCATATCTGTTTCTAAGGACCGCGAAATAAACTAGATTCGCTTCAACCGCTCAAAAATCCATTTCCTATCAGTCCTCAGTTTGCAGAACTATTTTTCACTTTGGTAACGTCGCAAAACTAACGGCTAGAGTTCCACCAATATGACTGTTTCGAATTGTAAATAACCTTACTTACTCTTATCACTTCAAACACTAGTTCTTACCGAGAGTATTTTTTTTTCAGAAATTTATCACTGCGTTATTAACTGCCTTTTTAAATGTATGTAAACCAAACCGTAAATTAGGTTTCGCTACTAATCGCGATATTTGGGATTTTAGTAGAAGAAAAATAAATTTACTTTTATCTCCTAAGGTATATATATCTAACCGGCCCAAAAACACTTTGGTATTCACCAAAGTTCCTCAGTGTATTCTCTTAAACGACTGAATAATATGCTAGATGAGCTCTTGTAAGTGTTGTTCAAAAGTAATTTTTGCGCTCCAGTAGATCACTTTTTAATATAATGGACAGATAATTACGGCACATCATTCTTCTGACGTTCTTGAAACGTTTAATTTTGTCTCTTATTTTCATCACTGAAGGAAGTTCTATAAGGGTGTTATTCTACAAAGAGAAACGATATAGATCATATTCCTCTTCGGTGCAGAGTAATTCGAGTAAATCGTCGGCGTAACGAGTAGTTATTGATAGGTGTGCCGTTGTTTTTAACACCTGTGGTTTCGTTGTCAAGTGCTATTTTAAAGAGTTTCTCAATGTATATATATTTAGTACAAGAAGTGGTGTGATAGATATAAAAAAATATAGAGCTATATATTTATTGCTTAATACCATCTATGACTAGAACACTAATGAGGAGGTAAATTTGGAACCGACTATTTCTTTTAGCAGAGGTGGTAAATCAACAATTCACCAGATTTCAACCCTGAGACAAATTCTAGAGAAAACACTGGAATACGGTGTAGACACGCACCACATATTTATAGACTACAAGGCAGCCTACGACTCTGTAAATAGAAGAGAATTGTTAAGAGCAATGATAGACCTGGGAGTACCAAATCAGTTGGTAAGTCTAACCAAACTAACCCTTGAAAAAGTTGAATGCAGAGTACGAATCCAAGGGGAACTGTCTGAACCTTTTAATACAAATAACGGGCTACGTCAGGGAGACCCACTCTCCTGTATACTTTTTAATCTAGCTCTAGAAAAAGTAATACGTACGTCACAAATCACAACTACCGGTTCAATATATAACAAATCTGTGTAAATCCTAGCATATGCTGATGATATCAATATTGTTGGGAGAACGGAAAACGCGGAAAACGAGAGGCGTATGTAGCACTAAAGGAAGCGGCTACAAAAATGGGTTTAATAATAAACATTAACAAAACGAAATACATGAAAGTAGGTCCGCAACCACAAATACGACGGCCACTTGTTATAGAAAACGACGTCATCGAAGCAGTTAACGAATTTGTATACCTGGGAACGCTCGTCAATACCGAAAATGACATTACCGCAGAGATAAACCGCAGAATTTGCACGGCTAATAGATGCTATTTTGGGCTTAATCTCCTTTTTAAATCTACTGCTATATCAAAAAATACAAAAGTAAAACTCTACAAAACAATAATACGCCCAGTCCTAACATATGGTTCAGAAACCTGGACTTTAACAAAAAGCAATGAAAACATGTTCGGATGTTTCGAAAGAAAAATACTGAGGCGAATCTATGGAGCGGTAAATGAAAATGGTGTCTGGAAAAGACGATACAACTTCGAACTCTATAGAATATACCAGGAACCAGATATCGTAAAACACATTAAGATAGGACGTCTGAGGTGGGCAGGCCATGTAATGCGGATGGAGCAAACCGACCCAGCTAGAAAAACGCTCCTTGAGAAATATGGAAATACGTGGTTGGCGGAGGAAGGCGATGGATAGGGACGACTAGAAGAGAATTCTTGGAGAGGCTAGGACCCACAGGTTGTAAAGCCAAAATGATGATGATGATTTCTTTTAGCAATACTTTTTAAAGGGGTGAAACATTTTGTGTGTATACAAAATCTTATTATCGAGATTTCAATTTTTTAATAGCGATAACTTTAAAAATTCTGATTACTTGTAAATTTGGCTAGAAATATGCCAAAGACTTCATTGGAACGTTTTTTTTTGCAGTTAATTTTTTCTAATTGTAATAACCACTTCGGTCCGATTTTTCTTCCATATGGGAGAGTCATTATGGAACAAAAATCAATTTTCGTAATTATTAAGCGATCATACCTTTTTTTTGTACAGGTTACATCTTTGAAAAATCGTCTATTGGCTTTCTAAGACCCATTTTTCATGTCTATATGAAAATATAGTTTTAAATTTGTATAGAGTAAGAAAAAAAATGTCTTAGTAAGAAAAATGAAAAGAATTCATTTTTCCACTGCTATTGAATATAAAAGTTAATATTTTAACATCCTGTCGTTAAAATTTATTGTTTAGTCTTAATTAGTCTTAAAAATTCAACTCTTTGCGCGATCAAAGGTTAAGATTCGTCACACCATGTCTTAAATAGAGTTGGTACACATCCTAATAAAAGTTTTAGAATACTTTTTCTAAGCAATATAATTCAAAGTATAACTTTTTTAAATCAATAAATTGCCGTGTAGAAAGTCTTTTTCTGTTTACTTTCGCAGAAATGAGAGAAAGGGAGATTTTCTTATAGATCTTCAAAACAACTGTAAGTAATTATTAGTTTACCTCCATATCATCACAAAAACCTGAGAGATTACTAAATTTTTGGCTGATTTACGAACTATCTTTTTCACCTGCAGAACTTAATTTTAAAAACAAAGTGCGGCTTGTTTGTTTGCGCAACAAAGATTTTGTTTTTTTTTGAAATCCTTTAAATTTTCAAGAGTATTTCATTTGCATTATTAAATTTAAAGTTTCCGTTATCTCGAGATAAACCCAGACACTAAAGAGTGTAAATTTTTATCTCCTTTATTGAATTTTTAATTAATAGTATCTCTTTTTACTGATCGATTTACTTTTGCATGTATGTATATTGTGTATGTTAAAGGTATTTTTCTATCGATTTCTTGTTTATTGTTATATGTAGCCAACCATGTGTTAATTGTTGGTACATCTTTGGATTTTTCGATTCATTTAAGCATATATGTTGAAGCTAACAGTTTTTAATTTTGTTGTTTTAATTCAACCATTTGTTGAATTATTGTTCAATATATTGTTTTTGTTTAACTAACGCATTTCATTTCTCTACTACCAAAACATTTCCTGATTAAATATTAGATTTAAACATTTGCTTTGCTATATTTCGACCAGAATGAAAGATCAGGCTAGATCATTCTTATAGGTAAGTGAGTGGACGATTTCCACCGAATATATTTTGCATTTGTTTATACAGTATGTTTACAACGTTGAACCAATAATTAAACTTCCATAATCTTTTACATATTTGGTTTTCAGAACATAGTTTCTTGTTTCTCATATTTCTTTGATATCTAAGGTTTCTTAGGTTTTTCCTTTTATTTGAAAAAAAGTGAAGTGGTGCCCCTTTTCTATCTTTATCTACTTTTTGGATGGTAACTTTCCATGCAGATTTCTTTATCTATTTATCTATCCTATCTTATCTTATCTTTGATCATTTGTTCTGTACAATGCGAGTGCCCGACACACTCTATGCTTGTATAGCTTGCGGGTGTTTATTGGAAACATTTTTTCTGTATTATTGTTACAGTTGTATCAATTATAATTAGTAGAAGATAACAAGTACATCTAGTAGCAAAAAAAAAGTTCAATATTTTGCGTAATAATTAAAAGTCAAAATAAATATTTTAATGTTTTTGATATTAAAACGATCGTTTTTTAAGTTAATATTTATTGAAAATATATAAATTATAATAGTATTGAGGAGCGATATGAATAATATTGATAACATTCATTAATATAATACACTTTAATAGTAGAAAATTACGAGAAATTACAATAATTCACGTATTTACAATATTATATCGATGATATTTATCAAATCATAATATATATATATATATATATATATATATATATATATATATATATATATATATATATTATATTTCCATAACTAATCGTGTGCTGAAGCCATAATGTTTATTGTATTAAGTTTTTTTATTTGGAATATCAAATTGATATAAACGCAAAGAACATTGTATGTGTTTACGAAATATTTTTATAAGAGAAAATAATATTCAAAAACAATAATTTACAAATAGCAATGAATATTTTAACCTTGTAACGACATTTTCCGTTCTGTTTTTTTACACATTTTTTACATTCTATACTTCCAGTGATCAAGAAATAATGAATATTTTTATTTGAAAATTGGAAAATGTCAATTGGACCTACATTACTATCAACTGATGTGTACATGAGATCTCAGATGTCATCACAAGCACTGTGACGTCATTACAATGTAAAAATTTAATTAATGGATCAATGGGATGAAGGTTGGGTGAAACGAATGGCTTTTTTATGTCAGATTCAACGGTGTATCGCAATGAGGGTATTAATGTTAATAAATACTCTAAATTTTTCATTTATTGGCGCATTCATCATATACAGATTAACCTGAAACTAGTATATTTTTATAGTTTTTACAAATTTACAAGAAAAGCAAGCTGTCCTTGAGATTTTATTTAAATCGTTTTTTGACAACTACAAATGTAATTTCTTGTGTTCACTCACTAATACGTTCATTTTAAAATTTTAAAATCTCGTGAGTTTATTCAGTAATATAGAAATGCCTTTCCTATTCACACCTAATGAATACGTAGATATGTTTTTGATTTATGGTGGGTGTAGGAAATGTTCAAGCCTTATACTTGACTTTTGCAATGGTTGAGGAGAAAAAGTAGCAAGGATCATTTCTGAACGAAAAACATAGAGAATATATGTCAAACCAATACTCACTGAACAAAACTTGGTGAATATTTTAGCATAATATGTAACAATTAATCCGAACAATTAATCCGCATGTGTCCATATGGTCCATTGCTACAGAAATTGGAGGGTGTTCAACTTCAGTTCAAAGTATTTTAAACAACCACCATTCATTTAAATTGTGTTTGGTTTAGAATTGGGACCCACCGATTTGGATCGAAGAATAACTTTCATCGCCTTTATGCAACTGATAATACAAGACACTCATGACTTTTTAACTAGAATTGTGTAGAGTAATGACCCATTATCGGTCAGTGGAAAATCAGCACTGGTTAATGTTTGGTGTTGGTTATTGAATGGGCTAAACGCCATTAACGGTCTGTATTTTTTTTGAAGAATATTTAAATGGTCAGAGATATCTGGATTTTCTGCTAAAATAAGCTACCTTTGTTACTGGAGAATATTTCTTTACACGAAAAAGGGCTTATGGTATGGTAACAAGATGGCGCACCCCCAAGAAACAACGGTATTGTAATGCCACATTTCCAAACTGATGGATTGGAACTACTGGATCCATCCAATGGCTTCCAAGAACTCTGTGATAGCACTGGCTAGATAGTTTTTTGTAAGAGACTATTTAAAAAGAATCGTTTATAACAAGAACCTATAGATGTAAACGATTTAAAAACGAAAATTAGACAAGCGTGTACCTTGATTACGCCAGAGATGGTAATAATGATTTATATGCTTATAGTGAGCGTCTGCCATATAATGAAAACTGCATCTGTTGATCTGTCTTTCATAAAACAAAACTGATTATCGGATATTTCGGTTTCTTCATATCTATATATCTATATATATATATATATATATATATTATATATATATATATATATATATATGTATATATGTATATATATATATATATATATATATATATATATATATATATATATATATATATAATATATATATATCCGTTGATCAATTACCCTCTCCTATAATCTTCATGGTGTGACTGAGTAGTTTTATGGCCTTGCAGCAGCTTGTAGTTTGTGCACTGTAGTTTGTATATATCCATTGTCATAGACCTTCTTATTTCAGTGTTATGTTTTGATAGAACCATTTTGTAGTTCTTCAATTGTCCGAATGTTTGGCTCTGCTGAAAACTCTCCATACACTAGCCTTTAATTCTTTGAATTCCTTGTTCCGCCAAGGCTCAGTTCTATTGATGGTTTCATAGTTGAGTGGAAAATCTTCTTCATGGTAATTTATTATTGTATGATTCAAATAATGTGAATTAGTTTCGAATTCTTGTAAATAATATGTTCCATCCTACTACTTTCCATACTAATTCTATTTGCATGAAGCAAACATTGATTTGTTTCCAAGATAATAAATGTTAAACAGTAACATAATGAACTAAATATTTTAATAATCAACTATCTATGAAAATTTTACTTGATATGTGGTATCAATAGATAATTTTATTCCCAAGAAACTGTTACAATATTGTTATTTTTTAGGTTGCCGATATCGAACCTCAATTTGATAGACTGTTAGTGTTCTGGTCAGATAGAAGGAATCCGCATGAAGTTCAACCCGCTTATAATACACGCTATGCTATTACGTTATGGTATTTTGATGCAGAAGAAAGAGCAGAAGCGCTTAGGAGATACGAAAGGGAACGTAAGTTGCAGGGACATTAAAGTAACTATTAAATTATTAGCTTCCCCGAATCCAGAGATTAAGTGATGCATTCGACCTTTACTTGATGAAAGTTTGCAGAAAGAACACAAAAGGGTTTTCAATAATAGAAAAATAGATTCTATGCACTTCACATTCAAAATTAAGGCTTAAAAGCTATCTTTATTAGCATCTTTAAAAAATAACAAATTAAAAAATACAGATATAATTCTAAATGACCAACTGGAAACAAACAGCTCTCCCCTCCTCAACCTATTCAGTTAAATACTATAAAGTGTAGACGCATAACAAAAATAGCTCACTTGAGAAAAAGCACTCTGTCGAAACAGCTGTAGTGATAATAAATTATAATAAAATTTGTGGAAGTGTTTAAACAAATGTTTTCAGTGTTAGATAAAATAAATTTCCATCAAGTAACGGCCGAATCCATCACTGGAAGTTTTTAAACATTTAGAAGATATATTTGCTTAAACGTTGCTACAACAAAGTCAGCAACTTTCTTATGGGGAGTTTCAGAATTTCTCTTGCTTCAATACTTGTTTTGCCATAGTATACCCACTTCATATCACTAAGCATTTCACATTCACATGGAGCATGTAGGGCGGTTTATCACCCACTTCGCATTTCCTGCTCAGCTCTACCTACGTTGTAAATGTGTATTCTCAGTTGAAAGCATTCAGTCACAATAAAAGCGACCGTCTTCAGGTCGTGTTTATCGAATTCATTAATCGTGATGCCGCTAAATGGTACTGTGTTATGATATAGTATTTATAAAGTCAGTTGAAACACCCAAGAAATTGGTTGCCCTAAAAATATTAAAAGAATAATATCATATTACCAGACGTGGGCGCATCATTTATTTTTAAAATTAAATATAGATTAATGAAGAACAGAAAAAAGACAATTTTAATTTACTTAAAGCTGTCGTAAAGTCATCGAGCAAAAAGACAAAAGATAGAATCTAATCGTTATGAAAAGGAGACCAAAAGAGTGGCCTCTGATGGCGGACATATCCGGAAATGCGAATGCGCCAAATTTAAATTTTTCGACACTTATTAACAGTAGCTATAGAATAGTTTTCAGAATGTGTCTTAGACGAGAAACTTTAAATAAATATAAACGATAATAGTCTAAAATGTGACATATTTGTTAATAAACTTCAATATAAATAAGATTCCATGTGACAGTTGGGACAAACAATAACATAACCCAACTAAATTTGATTTCTTAAACAAGGAAAGACTTTCTTTCGTTGTTTAATGTGGCCTCTCAAGATGACACTTCCTGTCTAACAACATTTTTGACCCCACTACATTTACATTCCCTCTTTTGTCTTTTTGCTCGATGCGTAAAGTACATAAGTATATAAAAAAGTTTTTAACATGTCATATTAAGCAACAAAAATAATTTATAATTAAATGGCAATAGGCCATATTGAAAGTATAATGATTTAATTATACTTCGTAAAATAATAAACATTTTAGCTGTGCAGGACTGGCATGAATCAACAGCGTTTCTTATCGGTATACCATCGCCCCCGGCTGGAACCGAACCTCTCAAGTAGCGTGTTAAATATTGGTGATTTTGAATAACATATCAATGTCCAATATTTATTTGATGGGATGTATCTTTCATTCTCTCTTTCTTCCATCTATTTCCTACGAAGTACGGGGATTGTTCAAATACGTTTAAAACATTGACGCGTGTTATTTATATTTTAACTAGATTACCGGTAAATGTAATATTGAACTGGCCTTATAAATCGAGTCAGAGAGAAATGTTTCAACTGACTTTATAAACACTATAACTTGGGATATTAGAAATATTCGAAATTTCACACATTTTTAACGTCTTTTTCTACCGACATGAGTAAATTTTATGCTAGCAATGCGGATATCTAACCAGTCTTTGGTTAGAAATAAATCATTAAATTTCATGCTAATTCTTAATCAACTTAATTACTTTTACAATTGATTTACTTATTTTAATTATTATTTTAGGAAAAGCCTTGAGCCTGCCCAAATGACTAGTTACCTGTTGTTACATAAAAAAGAGAAGATACATTTATACATATAGAAAATAGTTTGCTATTACGTCCCTTTGTACATATTGTGAATTTTATATGAATATTATTACTTTGTAAGATGAAAGTGTGATATTTAAAATAATTGAAATCTCTTAGCCATTGCAACTTTCTAAACGATTATATACAAACTATCGTATTATGATTCTATGTTTTTAAGTGTACATTGTCATGCTATGTAATAGTTATAAAAACATCAGGATTTCATAAAAATAATACTAGGATATGGGACAAGAAATTGTTGATTTTATTCAATGAATTTTAGAAGTTGAAATAATGACTAAAGCAAAACTTTGTAATGGCTTTCAACAACTTTCTCAACTTAACGACAATACTTTGTGACTAGCTTTAATTATGTAAATTAAATTTCTGCATACCAAAATCTAGATCTTCTACAAATTTTGAAAATTGCAATTCATTTATTGCCAACTTACTGCTAAAATCATTATATAATGTATTTTAGTTCTAAGCCGTTTGTAATTTAGTTTTGCAATTTCTAAATGTGATAAATTGTGCAATTAAAGCTTAAAGATAATATTAAAGCTTATTTTTGTTTTTATTTCCTATCTGTACCACTACTTTGAATAAGTTTCAGCAAGACTTGTGTTAGTAAACGAATTCTTGTTGTAAAAACTGAATAATTGATTTTGCAATATTTGATAACAATTGATTTAATTTCAGTTATCAAATTTACTACTATATTTCCAAATCTACTATATTTTTTATTTGGTTTTTTGCATGTCCATTTTCTTGATTTTTCTTGGGGCATTATTTATCTTTCTGTTACTCTAATCTATCATCATTAAAGAAGTAATTATTTCAGGTATTTACATACCTATATATATATATATATATATATATATATATATATTATATATATATATATATATATATATATATTGTTTATTTAATTTTCTTGAACCTTAACTTTATATTTTTTGAGAAAACTTTCTTGGGAATAGGTTCACTTAAAATTAATTATTTATTAAAAGTTATTTATTTTAGTTGATGTTTCGGCAGGTATTCCTTGTCTTTATCAAAAATATATCATAAAACGTAAATTAGTTAACATTAATAACAATAATGATTGTCAAATTTATGATCTACTTGAAATTCTATCAACATAAATTTCAAGAATACCTGTTAAAACTTCAACTAAAATAAAAAGCTTTTAATAATATTTAATTTTAACTGTACCTATTCTAAAGACAGTTTTATCAAAATATATAATTCGGGTTCTAAAACTAGGAAATTAATTACTTTGTAGAAAGTTTTCACCCTTTTTATCATTTGAATGTATTTAATATATTTTTAGGATATTTTAATACATTCTTGACTTTAGAACATTTGTACCTTCAACATGTTTTTAAATACTAGGAGACTGCCTTGTAAATATAAGTAATAATAATCCATTCATCTGGTAAGCTATCTAGTTTAGACTTATATTGAACATTGCTATAATTTTCCGGATTGATATTATTTATCACATATTTTTTACCTTGCTCTGCTGTCAATGATAATACGAATATCTTGAGGCGCAACATATTCGATATGTTACAAAAATTTGAAATTAATTCGAACAAAAATCAATTGAATTACTGTTGTTCTCTTTAAATATGGAATAAATAATAAATGGTATATTAGTTATTAGCAGCACATTTGACTCATAAGCTTTAGCCAAGTAATTTTTTGATCCCATATCCGCAATTTAAAACCAAAAATTACCCGAACATTGTATCTATTTTTAATAGTGGTAAATGTATGTCTTGAAAGTTTATGGACATTTATTTTTCATATTGTTTAACGATAACGAAGAAATTCGCAATATTTGGTGAGAATAAAGATATTGGCAGTGAAGTTGAAAACAGCTTATATTATTTGTAAGCCATATTTTTATTTCTGTCCAATATCCATCCTAAATTTATTTTATTTAGCTTATGGCAATTTAATACACAATGTATAACAATTCAACATCTAAATCATTTAAGTATTTAATCGACGCTGGTGTCACCTAGGCAAAGTCCAGTAGGTCTCCATAATATTTTCTCGAAGGGCATTCGGCAATCAAATGTTGGGTGGTCTGAGTCACAATTGCAGATATTCTCATCTTCCATTTGTGAAGGGTATCAAAAACCAGGTGAAGTTTCGGTGATGCATGATATATTCTCATTATTCGGTTCGCCCTGTGGGTCTGCATGTTCTTCCACTGGAGCATAATTTGGATATTGTTTGAAGACAAGTTTATTGTATATCTTCTTAGTGGTTTTTTTTAACACAAGCGATGTGAGTTGGCGTCAGCGATATCTTTATGTATTGGTAATTGCGCATTGTTAAGTATTTTATGGAACTCTTGAGCAAAGCTTGTTTGCGACGGAGATCGATAGGAGCTATTGGTGTAGACTTGATTTTTACAGATAGTAGACGCATTGTTGTATTAAGCTATCTATAATTTTTATGTGATCGCTATTTAGCCATATAGCAGAACAGTATCCGGCCGTGGAGTGTACAAGTCCAAGAACTGGGCACCGAAGTGTACTTACAGATGTTCCTCTTGTTGTCCCGCAGAGCTTCTGTATAATATTGTTGCGGGATCTTAGCTTTGCTGTTTGTCTTTTCAGGTGTTTCTTAAACGAGTGTGTTCTACACAGAGTAACGTCCAGGTATTTGGGGTTATAATTTTGCGTGAACAGTTGGTTTTCAATGTACACCTTAAGTTGTGTGTGAGTCATTTTGTTGTTTAAGTGAGAACAACTAACCACGGTTTTATTAGGATTAGGTTTGTGTCCATTCTTTAAAGTACTTAGCAGCCTTTTAAGATCATCCGTTAGGATCGTTCAATATAGTTTGAGTTTATTCAGAGCTAGTATGGACATACATTTGTTTAACTATTACATTCGTGATATATAAATGTCGTGAATCTTTTTCATTTGTGTTAAAAATATAATATAGTATTAAATATTTCCTAACGGCATGTAAAATTTTACTAAGAACAAGAGATTATTTTGATTACCTTTTATGTATGTAGAAGAATAAATAGATATACTGAACTATTACAATTTGTTAATCATGCATTAAATTATTAAACAGATTTTTTTAAATTTGTGTTTAAGACTAAAACCAACGAAATATAGATTAATTACAATCGTTATTTTTAGTTTTTCTCCTATTTTAAAATAATTGATACACCAAATTCCTATATCCCCATTGTTTAATAGTGAAAGAAAAAAAGTTTTAATATTTGTGTAGTACATGCCTCTGGTGCACGTGATTGTTTTAAGGTTAGTGCTGTATCCTTGTAAATAGTGGCGGATACAAGGGGGGGGTTCGGGGGTCATAACCCTCCCCTAAACAAAATTAAATATCAATCAATCAAATAATCCTAAAAAAAATAACTTAAAACCCATCAACCCTATAAGTAGGAAGTCAAAAGTTAAATTGATTCAAAATCATTTATTCGGGGGGTAAGTATGTACATTGCTCAATCAAAATCAACAATTCTAAATACAGTAATATCTCGACTAACGCTACCCTGACTTCAGAGTTACGCGATTTTTAAATTTTGTCAATTCGTCATTTGAGTGCCAGAGAAACGTTCGATTATCGATGAGATATAATTACCGCCCACACATGATTGCTTATTCAATGTACATTACATGACGACTTTTCGCACGAAATCAGCACATTTTTATTTTGTATTAGGTATTTGTTATCTTCAGTTTTGTCTACAAATTGGTTGTTTGTAATTTGAATATATATTATAATTGTTGAGACTGTGTGCTACATTTTATAATTTATCTATAATAAATATCAAAATGAATATTGTTGTTGCATTAGCTCTGTCTGATACGTTAGTGAATACAAATAAAGGAACTGGAGCTGCTGTTCAAGGTATTTGTGAAACTCGGTGTGTTGAAGGCACGAAGGTCATCTTCAATTCCAGGGCGAATCAATCATCAAAATATACAACGCTTTTAAAACAATTTCTACGTGGAAGAACAGTAAAATGGCAGCTGATGCATTTTCATTAATGCAAACTATTAGGAGCTAAAAATTTCTCATTTTAGTCATTTTAGTAGTTTGTCTTAGTGATGTTTTAGGTACAACTGTATCACTTATTCGTTTTCTTTAGTCACCAAAATTAGATTTGAAGAAGGCTACTAAGGCCATAGAGGACACTAAATGCATTCTTCAAAATAAAAGATCAAATGCTGAATCTGTTTTTGGCAAAGGAAACAGCTGAACGAACAAACCTGTCGTCAAAACCAACCTACTAACTATTTACCCCTTTAGACAATATGTTAACTGATTTAAGAACGACTTTCACCGAAAGTTATGAATTTATTTAATCTTCGAAAACTGATAACACACCAGAAGATAAACTTCGGAGGAAAGGTTAACTGGTTTAGCAATGTGCATTCTGAAATTTCTCTAAATGTTGATGCAATTATAGAGCGGTTTGCTAAATCGGATAGGCGAAAAGAATACATTTTATACAATTATATAATAATTACTTATCTTATTCTTATAGTATTTTTAATCACTAAACTTTTATTTACCACTCGTTGCCGACTGTTGCGGACAATTCGTGAGAACAATTTCAATACGAGTAAAAAATATTTCACTCACTTGTAGCCTTTAGCCTAGGTTTAGCAATGTGCATTCTGAAATTTCTCTAAATGTTGATGCAATCATAGAGCGGTTTGCTAAATCGGATAGGCGAAAAGAATACATTTTATACAATTATATAATAATTACTTATCTTATTCTTATAGTATTTTTAATCACTAAACTTTTATTTACCACTCGTTGCCGACTGTTGCGGACAATTCGTGAGAAAAATTTCAATACCGAGTAAAAAAATATTTCACTCACTTGTAGCCTAATATGCCTAATTATAGAAATAACTATTCTTAATAGCATATTACATAACGAGAGTTGTAAGAAGCGTATTACACGCGAGTAAAAAAGTTGCGCGCGAGCGCGTAGCGCGAGCGCAGTAATTTTACAAGCATGTAATAAGCTTCAACTCAAGGTGTGTACTATACTTTTTCTACGATTATTTTTGTTTATAAAATAAAGTAAATTACCACTATATTTACACTGACAGATTAATAATTTTTAATCTGTCAAAATAACGTCTGTTAATTCGTTTCCATGGTAACTCGACCAACTGACTTACGAGGCTTATGTGATATTACACATTTTTTATAAAACTGAAGCGTAATTTTTTTATTACGTGCTAGTCATTACGTGTCACTATCTGTTATGATGCATTTACTTAGCATCCAAATAGTAGGTAATATACAATTTACTAGTAAGAAAGTAGAAAATTATATTATGTTTTTCGCTGAATAAATTATTTTAAATAAAATGCTGTTTACACTTCTTCTTAAGGTTCTTTCTTCATTACCGAAGGGTGGTTATAATTACAGCAATTGCTCTCTATCTTGAGCTGTTATTCTTTTCTTCGGATAAGGATTTTCTTCTTAATTGATATCGGATATACAACGATAAGATAGAGTTTGTTAGGAATGTTTAATACATTCATGTTTACACGTACATTGAGATATTGCATTTAAATTACTTAACTTTGGTTTATAGTTATTTATCCTTGGTTTGTTCTTGATTTTGTAGCCATAAGATAGGTGGATGTAAATTAATTGTCTTTAAAATACCTAGTTTAAATAATTGACAGTCCTTGATTTTTCAGTATTCATATTTTAATAACTTTCTTTTGGTTTAAGTTTAAGACCCCTTAATGTTGTGCCCTTGTTTTTATTGAGAAAACGGTTCCCTTATATCAGGCACAAATCATATCAAAGGTAAGATGCAAAAATCTAAATCTTATATCAAAATCACCCTCAAGATCCATGACAAACAAATTTCTGGGGATCGGCCACTAAAAGCTGCAAAAATCTTAATCCTATATCAAAATCTGGATCCGCCACTGCTTGTAATAGAATAATAATTTGTTCATCCGTACGTGACTTAGGCGAACGTCATGTGTTTTATTGAGTAATAAAAGATATTATTCTATTATTAGAGGAGTATAAATATAAATGTTAGTAAACTACTTATGTACCAAATAAAAGATGACAAGCAATAGCCAAGCTCTTCTGAACATCCCAAACAAGGTTATTATGCTATTTTAAAATATAAAAAAAAATCATATACCTGTCTCATGCATAATGACATTTCTGTCATTATGCATGAGATGATACTTCTGCAGCATTTGATTCGTTTATTATTGTTATTTTTTCAAAAATAGTAGACACCGGTCTTATCGACCTTGTCCAATGTCAAAGCTACACCGGTGTCTGCTCTGAACCAGAGATAGCTCTACACGACCAAAACCGTGTTTAATCAATTGATATTTTTTAGCAAATGTCTAGTTATAATACTGCTTTGCGTCGTTCCATCCGATGGTACAAAAAACTGATACAAGAAGAGACTATTTCTATAACTGATTTTCAATTGGGGTTATTGAATTTTTTTTTAAATTCGTGCACGTGTATTTAACAGACGTTTTGATTACAAATCTAGAGAAAATCGGAAGTACTACAGGGGCTGCTATCGTAAAAAGCAGAATGGTTTACTTACTGGGCGTTATAATGCTAACAAGGGCAGAAAATTTAAACGAGGTATTGGCAAAATACAATATATCTTAAAAAAGCTGCAAACGAAAGTATATGAGTTGGAAAAATTAACCGCAACAAAAATATCAAAGCCATGATCAACATTAATTCTAAGAGGAACATCATTTTATGAAGAGGAAACAAAATCCAATAGAAGAAGCATATAAACAGACTATTGAAAACGATTCACCAGACATGGAAAACTAACTGCATGGAGCGCAAACGAAAGTTTGGAAAATCCTTTAAAGGTAGAAAAAAAATCCCCATTAATAAATAAAAAATCTAAACATAATAAAATAGAACAATATACTATAATAAAAGAATTTTAAAATGGAGACAATAGTCGACTTACATAATCAGAAGGAGAAAGTGTTGATGATGACCACATAGAAATCATTGAGAGTCTTACTTGATGACATACCAAATGAACTCATTAAATACCCTGGAGAACCGATAATTAAAAAAAAATTTAATTTTACAGGAAATCTTAAATAGCAAACATATGGAGGACCAACATTATTATACCTATACAAAAAAAGAAAAGAGTAAAAATTCTATCAATTATTGCTGAATTACACAATATAAACTCTTAAACTGCGAACAACGGTATTTGTTAATAAGGTAAATGAAAAATACATAATCAGTGAAGAGCCACAAGGCTTTCGATAAAATAAATCAACTACAGATACTACATCCATAGTCAGACAAATTAATGAGGAATATAACAAATCGGTCTACATCTGCTTTGCTGATCTGACTAAAGCCTTTGACTACGTTAGAAAAGATGTGTTAAAATTGCTAAAAGAAAAAACCATTCCAAGAAAATAATAAAGATAATTAAAAACATTAACGCTAAATGCATTAACGAAAATTAAACTCCAGAGTGAACTATCATCGGAAGTTGATTTCAGCCAGGGGCGGATACACGGAGGGTGAAATAGGAGAAATCCCCCCCCTCAAGAAGGTAAATTATTATTTATGTAAATCATGAATGTGTTGCTTGTGTGAGTCCATTTCAAATAGGTAAAGAAATAATAAATAAGACTTACTCACAATCACTTTAATTTAACTATCAGACGACGGTTTCGCTTTCTACAATATGCAAAGCATCCTCAGGTCTCGATACAAAGTTAAACAAATGCTGAAATAATAAAAACCCGTATTAGGGTGTTGTCTAATAACGATAAACAAAGGTAGGTGTTGTAAATTACAATAATTATGCCAATATTACATGTCTGTGGTTTTATTTAAATGAGTAAGTTGAATAAAAAGGTATAAAATTTTTAAAAAAGTTAAACAGACAAGGTAAGGCCCACAATTTGTTATAAAATAGTCTCTTCGATTGTACTAAATTAATAAATGAGCAAATAAATAAATAAAATAAACATTACTTACATGCCGGTACTCTATTAATAGATGGATGGTAGAACATGGTTGAAAGTACTTTATATTGTTGAATGGTATTCAACAATATAAAGTAGTTTCAACCATGTTCTACCATGGAATGGTATT